TCCAGCTCTACACCTTGTTATCTAACGTCCATTGACGGTTAGTTTCTCAGCCTAGTTTACAGAACTTCACGATGATTAATACCTTTAGAAACTCCAAGTTTATGTAGGGCAGTCCACATGTCCTCAACTCCATTTCCAGTGGTGTTGGCAGTGTCAAAAGCTGCAAGGGAATAATAGAGCCAAGCCCTGCACGCACTGCAGTCATGCAGTCAGTGTTCTCAATCTCTTGTAGCCTCAGGTTGCGGATTGCTGAAGCATACGCATCTTTATTATCCCATCTGTAGAAAATGAAATTAGGGCTTGATGCATGACATCAGGAAATAAAATGATATGCTAATTGCTCAACACTACTTACTAAGTATAAAAGGATGGACAGTACAGTTTGGGAGGAATAAGGTTGAAAGGGGTTTGAAGCTTAGTCCATTTTTCTTGAAAAGAAGCTTTCTCTTCAACATGCTCAGGTCTGGATATGAACTGTTACCACTTGGATGAAAGATAATTTTTTTATAAAAAAATTAATCTTGATTTTGAAGAGTTTGGATTTTAAACTACTGGCATATGAATACTGGTTTATTTTTGTGAAGAGGTTTAATACTTAACTAGTTCAGACTTTCTGGAACTGACTTTAAACCAGGATGTGTCACCTGGTGTGTTAATGAAAGTTTGTTTATATTGTTGAGGTTATGAATAGAGAGAGAAAACATTAAGCAATTAGCTCAGCTGAATTTAGAATGAGCATTTAAAAAAAAGTTCAAAAGCTTTTGAAGGGTAAGGATCATTTAAGATTAAGCAAGTTACTGACTTGATTTTACAACACTTGCTTCTACTTAAATTTCATGTCTCTCTTCCACTCTGTGAATTGTTATGCTGCTGGCCCAACAAACTGCACTGGAGCAGTAGAAATTTTCTTTAGCTAAATGTCAAGAATTGCTAGATCTGATCCCTAACTACTGATGCCATCCTTTTCTTAGATCACCGAGGTAGAACCAAATTGTTTACAACCCCAGTGTCATATCTGACCCTGAGATAAGTTTCTCACATGTCCACACCCTCAGCAGAAGTGCCTTCTTTCACCTCCAGAGAACTGCCCCTTTGCCTCTCCTATCCCAGTTCAGATATTATTAAACACCTCATTCATTCCATGGTTACTCAGACTAATGCAAATACTTCTTGATTGGCTCTCTTATATTTTCTCCTTAATATTGAGTGGATCAAAAAATTCTGTTGCTCATATCCTGACTCACATTGGCGCCTTTTCACAAAATACTTCCATATTCCATGATCTACACTGGTCTTGGTTTAGCAATTTCAAAATTTGGTTTCTGGTTTTCAAATTCAGATGTGTGATGGAATACACCCCACTTGCTTGGATGCAGCTCCAACGTGAGAAGCTTGACACGATCCAGGACAAGGCAGCTCGCTTAACTGGCACATCATCCACCTTCAGTGTTCGTTCCCTTCATGACTGATGCACTGTGACAGTAGTATATACCATCTACAAGAGGTACTGCAGATAATCACAAAGGCTTCTTCTCTGATAGCACTTTCCAAAACACGAAGCATTTACCCTAGAAAGGCAAGGGCAGCAGGTACATGGGAATACCACCATATGCAATTTTCCCTTTAAGTCACAATACTACCCCAACTCGGAACCAAGCTGGCGCTCATTCACGATTACTACTTCAAAATCTTGAAACTCCCTTTCCAACAGCCTCTACACCTCAAGCACTGCAGCAGTTCAAGGTAGCAGGTCAACATCACCTTCTCAATGTTGGCCTCACTGGCAACAGCCACATTCCACAAATTAATAAAAACAAAAAACATCTTCCATGACCTCACACTCTCCTACCCATGTAACCTCCTCCCATCTTGTCAAATGTCTGCACTCGTGCAATTCAGGCCTCTCAATTAATCCACATTTGGTGGCGTGTCTTTACCTGACTTGGCCCTTGAATTCCATCCTTATAGTTTTTTTCCTCCCCTCCTTTTGATGCTTTTTAAAGCCATTTCTTCCAGCAAGTTATTGGACTTACCAAATGGCTGTAGCCTAATTTTGTTTGATTTTTGCTCTTTTAAAGTGATCTTGGATGTTTTACAATGCTAAAGGCATGATATAAATATAAATTGCTTTTGGCTGATGCCAGAGAGTAAGCTTCTTGCAATTGTTCTGACTGAAATATAATGTATTGAGTGTACAGGCTGTTTGTAAAGAGAAAAAACACACCCCTACCTTTTCAAAAATATTTCAGATGCTGGAAATTATTTCCTATTTCACTCAATGACCACCAAGTCCAGCCATAAAAAATCTAAATTTAGATTTTTAATTCCTATCCTCTTCTCTAACTTGCTTCAAATCTCCACTGCCTTCAGGATAAAATCCTGTACTGCTCCTGAGCTCTCGAAGAGGATAATTTGCAAAAAGTGAAACAGTTGGTTTTCCATTCCTTTGATTTGCAAGACTTGGGGCCAGAAGCTAATATTTTAACCCATTCCATTTGTGACCAAAGCAGAGACAGGTGATGTATACTTTATCATTTACTTACATAACAGTGATATTCTTGCCTCCAGGACATAGCTCCACTTCCTCGCCTGTCATGGTGATGTAACTGAACTTACAACAGGGCTTGTTGGGAGATTCAGGGCTCTCTGTGGTTAGGTGATGTGATGTTACTTCAGCACACAGTGCCTCAAGTTCTGGCTCATTATTAACCTGGAATTACAAGAATCACATGAACCACAATGCCAACTCTGAAGAATCATAGAAAACAGTCCACATCAGACCTCCTTTAATAAGTTACCTCAAATATCAACTGTACTTTATATGATGCTCACATCACAAGACCTAAAAACTCATGGTAGGCCAGTGAAGAACGTGGAAACTCACTCCAAAGTTTTGGCAAAGTGGATGGAGGGACAATGGTATTAACCCTCTGACAGCCAGTAAATGAAACTTTACTCAATTTTAGATTTATTCACAAAGTGAAACATTACAAATTTATAGCTCGAAAAAGTACAAACCGTTGCCAGAACCAAGAAGTGTCTCTTTATGTGTGCTCAATTATCTGATGAATTCCACCTTTATACCCCTAACCTTAATTCATACAATGAATTGATTTTTTTTGGGGAGGAGGAAAATACTCAACCCTTCACGTACAAATGAAATTCATTCTATAATCTAGATTTTCAGAAGTCAAAATCTTTCAAAAAAAGTGGCTAGATCAATGGGTTCTGAAGAACAAGTCTTATCAGACTCAGAATATAAACTCTGTTTTTCTCTCTCCACAGTTTCTCCAACATTCTTTGTGCTTATTGATAGTTTGGTTGGAGAAGGGGAAGGGGAAGAGGAAGAGAGTATGAAGTCTTAAAACTCAAACATACATACATACTGAATGACTTACAGTCTCAAATTTCTTGATGTAGTTGTAGGTCAAGATGTCAACCTCTTGCAGATCATACTCTGGATCCAGTGGTTCGCCAACTAGAGTCTTCCAAAATGTTGGGAGGAGATCAAGAGGGAGTGGGACATCTGCTCGGATAGCAGTTCCAAGTAATTGGCCAAAGAAGTGTAGCAGTTGCTCCTCAGTATATGTTATTGGGCCAGGAGTCAGGATGTACTTGCCCTAAAAACGTGTTTAACCAGACATAAAATAGATATATGACATCCTTCGTCTGAAAATCTAAGCGTCTCAACATTACCAGTTTCTCGTTAACTAGAAATGATCTGCAGGAGAATGTCCAGTGTTGTCAATATCTTTTTTTGTACCTTTTACCTGTAGGAATTATAAACCCACTAGAGCCAATACAATGGGACATAATGTGTTACACTAATTTCTTCGATTTAAAATTGATTGATCCATGATCACTAGTTCTTCACTCTGATATTATATGGCTTAAAACATTCTCTTTAGATGCATTCATCAATTTCATCTGTGGTGATGAGCGAGATATTTTAATTGGGGTCAGTGGCACTGGGTTATGTACAGGAGAATTTGTATTGGGAGAATCCACTGTGCTCATTCCTGATTAATATCAACTGTCTCTTGATGAGAAGTAAACACAGGCAAGCACAGGTACAAGTACTGATGTCATCCCAATTTGGCCGAATTTACTTCCCGAATGATCATTTAAAATACTTACTCAAGACAAGGTACTGCAGAGCAACTGGTCACAAAATCGACATCACATCCAGAAATTAACAGCTCCAGTAGAGTAAGAGGCATAAATTGTAGTTCAATATTACTAATAATTAAGTAATAAACATTAATATTTTATATCCAATTTATTGTGATGAAGGCTTTCTGTCAACTGGAATATAGATAGATGCAACAATGCTACTAAATTTTATTTCCCCTACAAGAGGCTGCTACATGGCCTTCCCTATTCTGGGAGTGATCACGAAGATCACTGATAATTCAACATTAATCATATTTGTTAATCAGATTAAAATGGTGCAGACCTATTCCACACAGCAAGCAGGCAAGTATTCAACTGCCAAAATGTGGATGCTCCTTGAAACTTTCAAAACTTTAAAAACTATAATGCTTCAAAAAATTAGCGGTTCTAAATTTACTAGAAGTACAACAAGATGTTAACTGATACTTAATACTGCCAACTCTTCTGAGTCTGAATTAGAACCCATTTGTATCATGCAAATACCAGCAATTCACTTCAGCACAGTACAAGTGAATGCACCAAGACTTGATTTGATGAGATGAAACAAAGAAAGCTTGGTGCTGGGAAGTAGAACTTAACAGAAAATACTGGGAGTACACGATTGTTCAGCCTGCACCTGAAAGAAGAGCACCGTTTTAAGATTGTCCTCCATCAGAACAGATGCACCCTTTCTAAAGCTGGGACAGCAGCTGGGTGTCTTAAGGAATTGTTGTTATGGCTGACATATTTATAACTCATATGAAGATTGCAAAGAACAATGACAAACTCTCTGCACCACTATCAGGATTGAACTGAACCTAACTCACCTCTCTCACTTCATGTAGTGTCCTTTTCATCCAAGATTGCTAATCACGGCTCTTATCACCCTCATGCCGTGAAATCAGAATAGCTAAGGTGGCAGGTCCCCAAAAACTAACGTTGCCAAATAAGCTAACCGGTCTTTTCTAACCTCTCAAATACAGCAAGATTCACTAAGCATTGACTCAGTCAACACCGTTCCACCTTAATGATGTTCATAGAATACAGATGACATATCCTTCTAACATTGCAAAGTTCATTATACAGTTGCTTGATACAGACTCTGTTCTGTGGCCTGCACATCCCACATGCACATATGATGTTTTCTTCTGCACTGCTGGTGCTTCTTATTGGACTTGACAGGGTAAATGCTGAAAGGATGCTTCTCTCATGGGATATTTTAGGACCAGAGGATATAGTCTTAGAAAAAAAGAGGCATCAATTTAAGACTGAGAAGAGGAGGAATTTCTTCTCTCAGAGGGTTGAGTGTCTTTGGAACTTCTTGCCACCGAGTGTTGCGGAAGCAGGGTCCTTGTGTATATTTAAAGGCTGCGATAGACAGATTCTTAATCAATAGGGAATCAAAGGTTATGGGGAAAATATAGGAGAATGGACATCAGGAATGTCAGATCAGTCATTATCCTATTGAATGGCAGATCAGGCTTGAGGGGCCGAATAGTTTTTTCCTGTTCCTGTTTTTTATGGTTGCGGATGTGTGCACCTTTTCCCACTACTCTGATCTTTTCATTCTGGCTCCCATCCTCATCCTCCATTCTCACCTTTAAAAAGTTGTCAGGGTCCATTGCCATGACTTGGAACTTCTTCAGCTAGTTCCTCTTCCCCCTGCTCCTATGCCCACTCTCTGCTCACAGTGAAGTCCTCAGACTTCCTCAGCTATTATCTGCAAACAACTCCGGTCACTAAATAGAGCCAGGTCATCCAAAACCAGGCAGGCTGGTGGAGTTATTTTTATACTCACATTATTCGCTTCTTAAAATACTCAATTCATTTTATTTTTATGGCTCTCTGATTTATCGAAGATTTAGGAAGGTGCATCATTTAAGCCTATAATGTTTTAATGCTTGGAAGTTGTGTTCTGCTGAGAAAGATCCTAAAGTATCCAAATAGTGCTGAAGGGTCTTTTTCTGTGCTGTAGACCTCTATGACTCTACAACACTTTTATATTTTAATGCATTATTTCATTTCATAAGTATTTCATCCAGGAATGCATAATACTGCATATGTATGGCATGGTATTTCAACTTGCACACTGCTTGCCTCGAAAAACAATGGAAGGACCTAATTTCGATTCACTGAAGTACAGTCTTTTAGGAATGCATCTGCAACCTTGAGAGAACTTAATCCATCTGATTGGTTACCTGCAGCAATAATTACCTTGTTTCTGTTGGCTGCAGAACTTGGGCAAGGTATAAGAAGTGAAAGTGCTGAACTCTGTAACTCTTTACAAACTTGCCACAGGAAGTGTCGGAATGATCCGCCTAGAAACCAAACAACAAAGGTGAAACAAAAGTAACTTTTGAATGAGGAAAATTTTTTTGCACATTGATAAAGGCCACTGGAACAAGCACATGTAATTGAAATACAGATTGAAGAGTGCACCACTCAAATGTTGAGCTGAAATGTTGACAGATTGCTTGATCTTTCCTTGAGAGTGGAATTTAATACCAGAGCTTTCGAATTCAAGAGATGAGACAGGTATATCAACTTAAATGACATTAAAGGGAGTCTACCTTTGAGGATACTTTTAAACCTGATCTCAGAACAGAAAGCAAGCAAAAATTGAGAAACCAAAATCCAAAGCAAGACCGTAACACATTGAAGCAAAATAACATTTTCTTTACAAATATGATCCCCATGACGTTACATTTTCAACTGAAATTTAGATGCATTAAAGTATATTTATTCTCTCCAACATTATAGTGGCTTGTTCAACGGGTTAATGAAAGCAAGCATCAGGATTCTCAGGGAGGTAGCAAGGCAAATTCTGGTGAGCAAATCACTTGAGGATTTGAAGTGGCTGCTCACAAATACTGGAAATATATATCTTCAAAGTAAAATTTTTAAAATTGTAGATTGTTAATTACATGAGCTACAATTATAAACACCATTCTAGCATGCCCCAAAGTGATAATAATTAGAAGATTCTGGGTTCGATTGTCCTTTTGTGATGAATTAGTTTGATCTGAGTCACGCAAGCAACATGATTATTGCAACTGATCTCAAGATGGGAAAATATCAACCAAGTTACAGATTATTCAATGATCGCTGCCGGAAAGCAGACATGTCTGGATATAAGGTAAACACAATAACGGACTTGTCCGAAATGCTTGGCAATATCAAACCGTTTGACAATGTTTCCTCATTCTACCTAGTTATTTGGTGTGTATCTGGTAAGTGACTTAAGACTTAATCTATCCGTAAGATTCAATATAATATAGTAACTAGTGGTAATGTTAATAGAATCTGTAAAAGGGTAAGTAAATATATAATTAAATAAAATAGTTAATTAGAACATATTAAGGTTGAAAGGACAGGTAATATGTCGCATCTGCAGTACGTGGGAGTTCTTGCCAGCCACTTTGTTCAAAACAATTGTATTTGTAGCAAGTCATTGATATCTACAGCATAGAAAAAGGCCCTTCAGCCCACTGAGTTTACACTGGTCAAAAACAACCACCTTACTATACCAATCTGATTTTTCTAGCACTTGGCCCATGACCTTGCATGCCTTGACATTGCAAGTGTATACCTAAATACGTCTACCATCCCTATAGGCAGTGAGTTACAGATTCTCATAACTCTGTGGGTGAAAACATTTTTCCTCACATTCCCTCTAAACCTCCTGCCCCTTATCTTAAATCTATACATCCTGGTCACTGATACTTCAGAGGGGAAAAGTTCCCTTCAGTCAGCCCTATCTAGGCCCCTCAATTTTTATACATCACTATCACGTTCCCCTTCAGTCTCCTCTGCTCCAAGGAAAACAACCCTGGTCTATCCAGTTTCTCTCTATAACAAACTCTCCAGTCACGTCCTGATAAATCTCCTCTGCATCCTGTCCAGTACAATTACACTCCCCTATAATGTAGATTCCAGAACTGCCCACAATACACTAGCTGTGGGCTAAACAACAGTTTATACAGTTCTAGTATCACCTCTCTGCTCTTAAACTTGGCTAATAGAGGCAAGTATCCCATATGACTTCTTAACCAATTTATCCACCTGTCCCGCTACCTTATGGGACCAGTGGATATGTGCACCAAGATGCCTGTGATCCTCAGTGCTTCCCAGGGTCCTACCGTTCATGTATTCCTTGTCTTGTTTGTCCTGTCCAAGTGCATCACATATACTTCTCCAGATTGAATTCAATTTGCCACTGGTCACCCCATCTATATCTGCCAGTAATCTAAGGCTATCCTCTTCACTATTTACCACCCCAAAGTTCATATCACCCATGAGTTTACTGATCAACCTTCTTACATTCAAGTCTAAGTTGTTTGTATATACCACAATCAGCAAGGGCTCCAATTCTGCTCCCTGCATAACCTCCCTGAATACAGGCTTCCTGCCACTCAGCCAATTCCGTATCCAATTTGCCAAATTTCCTTGGATCCCATGGGTCTTACCGTTGCCATCAGTCTTCCATGTGGAACCTTATCAAAAGCTTTGCTAAAGTTCCAGCAGACCACTTGTCATTCTAACCTCAGTGATGGGGAAACTATTGGATGCAATTCTGAGGGACATTATTAATCTGTGCTTGACAGGCAGGGATTACACAGGAATAGTCAGTATGGTTTTAAGTTGAGGTCGAATGCATTACCCTCATACGTACACACCTGATTACCTCTTTGAAAAATGCAATCAAGTTGGTCAGACATGACCTCCCTTAATTAATTAATTTTGTCCCTCAGAATTGCATCCAACAGTTTCCCCACTACTGACGTTACAATGACAGGACTGCAGTTTCCTGGTTTATTTCCTGTTCCTTTCTTGAGTAACAATATCACATTAGCTGTCTTCCAGTCCTCTGGCACCTCTTTTTTGACCAGGAAGGAATTAAAAATTATTGCTAAAGCACCTGCTACTTCCACCCTTGCCTAACTCAACAGACTGGGATACACTTTACTGGGAGAATCTAGATCTATGGTTTACTTTTAAAGATCCATTTAAAACAGAAATTAGGCAAAATTCTTAGGGTCATCTCTTTGGAACACTCTTCCTCAAAAGTTAGTAGAAGCAGTGTCCTTGAACATTTATTAAGGCAGATGCAGATAGATCTTGTTAAACAGGGTGAAAGATTATTAGGGCTAGGTGGGATGTGGATTTTAATTTTTGAATGACAGTCTGGATAGGCTGAATGATTTACTCCTGTTCCCGGTTTGTATTTTGGCTCATGCGTTAAATGGCCAATTGGTGAAGAACTGGAAACTAGTCACTGCTCATGAACCTGCATTCTAACGTTTGTCCACACCTTCAGAGAATGAGGGAGTGAAGAATAAGAGAGAGAAGGGTGGGAAAACATGGTTTTGCACTTAGATTTCACAGTTGCCTCAGTCGCACTTTAATAACAAAAAGCTGAGTCTACATATCTTACTTGTTCCATGCACTTCTTCACCAGTGAAGCGAATATTAAATGCGTAGGTTGGGTCTCCGCCACTTGCCAATTTTACACAGAGTTGGGAGGAAGGCACTAATGCCAGTTGTCGAGCTGCCTGGCAGAAGTAGGTGTTTTCTGATGAACGAATCTCACCTATGTCGACGATTTAACAGAAAAAAAAGTGACCACGGCAATGATAGTGAAACTAGCACATTTTAAATGGCTTGCTCAGACTTAAATGGCCAAAAAACCATCTAGTTATTGTAATTGCCTCCATTTATTTCTAATTTGTCTACGGCTTTTGTAAATTTTAATGCATTATGACTCTTAAGACATACAATGTGTGCCTGTCCTTAGTGAACATAAAGCACTCATAAGTAGAATTAAATGTTAAATTTAGACTTTTAGATGTTAAAAAGGCGCATACTAGTTTTACGAAACAGAGGTGCCTCAGGTCTGCTGGAATCTGACAGTTACAAAAGCTGCATTTAACCATCCAATGATACATGAATTAGTTTCTCAATTGTCACTAAATATTGAGTAACCAGTGATTGTCATTTAAAACAAACAAAGCTTAAAAATTAAGGTAAACAGAAATGTAAAAATCTTGACATAAATAGTGGAATTTTGTTTTTGCTGACTCCAAGGATAACAGTGCCTCTTATGGACTGAACCCTCCAAGAGCAAATGTCTTTAAAAAATTGAAATAAAAACAGTGAAAAAAAAATAGAAATACACATGATAATAACATATCAAACTTGAAGTTGTAAAAATAGTTAAAAAACCTAATTTTCTTAATTGTGGGTTATGCCCAATATAAATCAGTGCTCAAGCACTAACAGGGTCCCAACCTTCTTGCAAATGTGAAACATCCAGGAGATTACCAGATTATCTAACAGAAGATCAATATATTTCAGCTTTCAGTATGAACTGCAAAGCATAAAATGAAAAACTGTGCAGAAATCAGACCAATGCTTGCCAAGGAAAGTGCACAAAAGAATCCTTAAAACATATTCTTCAGCAGGTCAAGCATTTTTCATTTTAACTCCAAGCCTTTAACTTACCTCCCACTATTTCCAAAGGATCCAGTGTTATTTCAGGTGCAGCATGGTCTGCAGTTCGCTGTACAGTTGCATTCAAAACTCGGTTCATCACAGCTAATTTAGTATCATAAAAAACTAATCCTAAACAAAAAAAAAAGACATACGAACTAGGAACTACTTCATCAGAATAGTTATGAACATTTCTACAGTTACTTGGAATCCTGGATCATACTGTGAAAAAAGTTTACAAATAGGAAGATTAACTGTGATAACAGGGCAAAACAAAATTTTAACTGAAATGTGACACAGACAAGAAAGTCAGCTAAAAGCTGCTGAAAAGCTATTCTTTTGAGAAAAGTAACATCAAATTTAGTCTCGAAAGAAAGAAGGTCCCCAAATTCCAGTTTGGAAATCATGATACACAATTACTCCCCACCTGACTGGAAATGATGCAGGCAGCTTACAAAATGCATGTTGCCTACTCATTGTTGTGCAATGCAGTGAGGCTGACTGAGTGCATACATCAGCTGAGGAATCAGGTCTATGGAGAGTCAAACACCACTTAAAGCTGAACTGTACTTTTTAAAAGTGAGATGCATGCTGTCTGTAGTGAGAGTCGGGCAACACTTAGCAGCCCAGCTGAAATGGTGCAATAGGCAAAAGAACATGGCTGCAGTTTATTTTTTTAGTTGCTAACCTGGAGTAACTGGTGCAGGAGGGGGACTGATCTTTCAAGACAGAAGTTCAGAAGGTAGGAGGAGCAGATAGCTGTGGTCAATAACAACAATCCAAAGCAGAGGGCATGGGTACATCAAACCATTTAATGGCCTCCTGACTGGTCAACATCAAACCCCACCAACTGACTTTAAGCCATATAAACTGATCTTGATTTGGATAAAGGTAAAAATGGTCAATAAGGACTCACGTGGGTAAAGTCTCCTGCTTCCTCTGCAGGAAGCTTGCCTTCTCTGCTGTCTGTACTCCTATCTCCCTCTGATACTGCAGCATACTTGAAATCGCAAATATCGTGCTCAATATGGCATTAAGAACAATGTATAACTAAGTTTTACATTTTGTATTGTGTGTGTAAGACAGCGGAGAATGCGGGCTAGTCATTTTTAGAGTTTTATTTGTGAGCCTGGGGCTTTGGAGCTGGTGAGTGTGAAGATGTTTTGTTTTTGTGTATTTTAATGAGGTTTTTCAACCTTTAAGTATTGAGCTAGGACTGAATAGATCAGTGCATTATTAACAATGAGTAAACGAAATGCTGCTTAATGACAGGCACCCAGTCTCACACAACAATCTAGAAAGAGTCTGAGAGGAGGTATGCCACAGAGTGGAGATAAGACTGCGAGACAGCTGAATTTCAAGAACTCATCTGGGTTTTTTCAGAAATTAAAAGTAATAATGAGTTTATTTTGAAATTTATTTCAAGCATCGTGGGGAGACAACAGATGAAGGGCAAAGCACTGAAGGTTGGTATTTTTAAGGATTTTGCAGTGGTAAGGACGATAATGTGAGTTTGAATGCTTTTCCGATGTTTGTAATGAAATTCTACCATCTCTTTGTTTTGCATAGTGTATAATTCTTTTGTTTTCTTGTTCAATAAACATTTTATTCTGCATGTTAATGTACATTGGCAACCTCTTGTGAGTTGATTCAGCAACTGACTTTCATGGTTGAGAAATAAAGTTAGGAGTTAACAAACCAGGTTTCACTCTGGGATCTGACTTGTCCAGTACTAAAATCCGCTAATAACACTGTGATCAAGCGATGTATTCAGGGATGCTTCAGAAGTACATAACTCATCCTAAGTGCCCAGCACTACTCATTACTAACAGTTCTCCAGTGCTTTCACTAACTCTACAAAAGCAAGCAGGCAATTAAAAGCAAGTTATTTGCAAGTTAGATGGCAATGCCTTTACATAATGCTGGTGGCTGTGGTATGGGAAGAGGGTCAATGATTCCTTACCTGCGTGCACTTACAAGAGGGTATTAACTCAAGTGACTAGGTCAAAAATGGTAGATGTTAAATGTTATTTGCTAACTAACATCACATTCTTCCCACTGCATGTTTCCTATCAATGTTATTGCTTTCTATAACATGCTGCATCGTGATAGAAGTAGTTGGGGGCAGCCACCCCACAGTTTTTAATCTTCAGTGGCATGATGGGGATGAAGCTTGTGATAACAGAAACAAAATCAACCTCTGTGGCATCTATTCTTAGCAAAAGACCTGAAATATTCAGATCTGTCAAAACTTAATTAATTTTTAGATGCAGGTGAACTAACAAGTAGAAATTTTTGCAGTATGAAGTTGCAACGTACAGGACCATAAATGAAATGGGCAGCATGTTTAATCTACTGCTCTGATGAGTTCTCAATCTCAGTATGATTGAGCTGTTAGGCATCAAGTTTTATTAAAGATGAGAACAGAACTTGTGAAATCAAACTTGATAATCACATTGGATGAAAAATGAACATAACAAACCTCCAATTAAAAACAAAATTCAGTTTACTCCTGTGTCTCTTGCCAGCATACTATTCTAATGCACAGGCAGCCTCCAGAACTTCAGTTCAATTGTCAGTCTTTTTGTGCAATTCTAATTTGAACATAAATGGGTCAGCACTAGTGAGACAGATTAATGGTGAATGTCTACAGGCTGTGTAGGAGGAAGAAGAGGAATGCAGGAAGTGCTGAACAGTTCATCCAAATCCTTTTCTTACCTGGTTTATACTGGATAACAAATCAGAATACAGAATCCAGAATCCTGCACAACACTCCTCTCTCCAGGGAATAAAGGAGCAAGATAAGTTTGCCCTTGAGTTTGTTACACAATACAATTAGATCATGGTTGATCTGTACTTCATTCCATTTATCTGTTTTTGTTCCATATCTCTTGATTTTCTTACCTAACAAAAATGTGTCGATCTCATTCAATAAGATTTTAATTCACCCAGCATCCACAGTCTTTTGGGGAAATGAGTTCCATTTTATTACTAGGCTGTGTGTGGAAGAAGTGTTCTCATTTCACTCCTAAATGGCCTAGTTCTAACAAAAAGAATATGGCCTTTTGATCTCTCTTCCCTAACCAAAGGAAATTGTTTCTTTGACACTAACCTATTAAATCTTCTCATTATTTTAGAAATCTCAATTAGATCACCCACAACCTGCTCAACTAATTCAGTCAATTTTATGCAATCTCCCCCTCATAATCTAATTTTTTAAGCCTTGGTATTGTTTGGGGATTTCTGCTACACCCTCTCCATGACCAATACACCAAACCTCAGAAGTTGTAATGTATTCAGCAAAGACTGAATATACTACTCCAGATAGCATCTAACCAAGACCTCTAAATAACTGATTCATCACCTTCTATTTTTGAAATCCAAGCTTTGCAGATACAAGCATTCTATTAGCCTTTGTTTATATTCTGTACCTGTGGATTAGCCTTCAGTAATTTTATACACAGCTAAATTTCTTGGCTGCTTCACAGCTCCTCGTCCTTCATTATTAAGAAAATATTCTGATTTGCCATTTATAATTTTCCAATGCAGCAAGTACTATTCCTGAGTCGAGAGAATTCTGGAATATTTTGACTCATGCACCTGTACTTTCCACACCAATTACTTTAATACCTTATGGCCATAGGACTTGTTACATTATCTATCATAATAATGAAGTATTTTGCAATGTAAGTAGTCCACTGCCTTATCAGTTGAGCCATCCAAGATCATGGCAATGCATTACAGTCCTACTGACACCACTGGGTCTTCCAACAGAACATCTGACATCTGACCTTTAGCCTCTCGTAACAGTGATGCAATGCTATCCATGTAAGTGTGCGTCTGTCTGAGTTCCACCAGAGGCAGGAAGAATGTCTCCAAGGTGTTGTTCAGAGACTGAAGTAGAGCAAAACGAAGTCGAAGGCTTTCAATTGGAACATCTAGAAATAGTACATCAAAATTAATAGCGCACAATGTACAGGACAAAGGGTAAACACATGTCAAATAAATTTTATTTATAATCAAGCATTTCATTTAACAGTTCTTTTTGTGATTTAAGAATGGACATATGTCATTTGTATTGCCTCAGAGTGCCAAAACAGTTCATACCCAACTTACTTTTTAAATTGGAATGACTGCTGAGGGAACACGTCTGGTAGCTCATCACAATATTTAAGAAATTCTGAATCAGTCTTGATCCAAAGCATACACCTTTTGACCAAGGTTACAACTCGCAGACAGGGAAGGTGGAGGCTATTAAAGATTTTAATAATGATGAGAATTTCACATTTTAGGTAGTGGGACATCAGGAAGTTGGGTTAGAAAGGATAGGGGCGATTGGTGAGTGAGGTATGATACAGGAAGTGAATAGCAGAGTTTTGGGTGAGTCAGAAGTTTGCAATGGCATAGAAGTCAAAAAAGTAGCTTTTTTAAAATGAAGGGGTAATGGAGCTGGAGCACCAGCTTTGAGTAAAATAGGAAGTAGTTGGGACAGACAGACAAACAGTCTAGTTTAGCCTGATCTGGAGACACAAATGGAATAAATGGCAAAGATTCAGTTTATGCTAGGGTTTGAATAGGTCTAATATTTTCTTAATGGACAAAATTTTGAATTGCTTGGTTTTCAGACAAGCTGACAACTAAGAGACAGTGGAGGGTTGAGAAAGGGGAAGACAGATTGATGTGAAAGTTAACCGGCAATGACAGATTTTTCCCATCCCTAATTCAAAAATGTTGGGGTCAGTTGTACAAGTTATAACTGACCATGCAAGATCTAGTCAAGCCAATGGAAATAAAAATAACTTGGAAAGAAAACTTTTATTCCCTCCATTTCAGGGGTTCTATCACAAACAATGTTCTTTGCCTGGTATATGATTGCATTTGCCAATGCAATTTTAATGATCACCAGAATCAGTCAGCAGCTCAAGATCAGCCATCCTTTGAATTTTTTCCCCGACCTATTGTTTTAGCAGAGTGCTTCACTTTCCCTATCTGGAACCTCTGTATTTCCCATTGGCCCCATTTAAAAATAAACCTAATTCTTACATTTCAAACTTGTTGCAACAAGGTGGCAAGAGTCAGTATGTTTAGATTGTTATAGTTGGTAAAGTCTTGATAAAATGCAATAAATTTGTTTTGTGAAATTAAGATGTATGGGGTTTCTGTTAATATATGTAGTACTACAAATGTAGCACTGTCATGAGAAAATTACCAATACAGGGCTTACTCAATAAACAGGCAATCCTTGGGTCTGGTAAATCCGCAGGATCAAGGTAAACTTCATGAGGGTGGAGTCGGCCTGGAGTGATGGCAAGATGACGGCAGAGACGGTTGACATATTGTACAAGTGCAACATCCATCTCTAGAGTCCATTTTTTGCAAGATCTTTGGGCGTGTCTGGTGTCGATGCAGGCACACCTATAGTGGATAAACATATTGTCAAAAATACAATTTGAGCTCAGATAGGCACTATTAAACTATATTGATAACTGTTAGCCAGAATGATATCAGCTCAAAACTACTTATGTATTGCACTCTTAAGTGTCAACGGCATGTATTGATTTTCTAAACAATTCTTTCTGCAATTTTCTACTTGCCTTTCAAAGTGAAGGTCATAGCCGCAGGAAAGAATTGCCCTCCAAACACTCCGAATGTCCTGCTTTGACCGATCGACAACAAATTTCTGGAAACCATCCAATGTTAAATACTTCTCTTCTGGTACTGTTGGAGGTTGAAAGATTCATAAAATTAGTTAAGGATGCCATCAATATCCCATATGTTGTGCCATCCACAGGTCTTTTGGGAAGAATAGAAAGCTAGGAAAAGGTGAATAAGGAGCTTTATTAAATAATGATGGTATTAGCACAAGAGGGCGATAACTCAAGTTCAGGAAACCAGTGTGAAGAAGCACTTCATGTAGATACAAGAAATGATGAAAACAAAGTCACATTAACCACACGACAGGGTGAAATATAAACGAAGAAACAATGGGAGTATGCCAGAAAGGTACATCAATAATTTGGGTGATTTTAAATCAGCATGTGGACTGGAAAATCAGATGAGAAAACAGTACCTAGATGAAGAGTTTGTATAATGTTTTCAGGATGGTTTCATTAAACAGTATATTTTGAATCTAGCACGAGACAGCAGGTTATACTAGATCTGATATTGCATAATGCGACAGGATTAGTTAACAATCCCACAGTGAAGGCACCCTGAATAACAGCTTGATTGAATAATAAATGAACTTCTATTTTTCAGTTTAAGAAAAAGAGGGGGAGTGATTCCGAGACTAGTATTTTAAAATTAAATAAGGGCAATTATGAGGGCATGAAAACAGCATGAGCATAAGTGGATTTGCAAATTAGGTTGAGGGATAGATCAGTAGAGATGCAATAGCAGACATTTAAAAATACACAGAATTGATGCATTCCAAAGAGAAATAAATAAAATTTGAAGGGGTGGACCCAACCTTTGTGACTAAGGAAGTTAAATATCAAATTTAAAGTTAAAGCATGTAAGTGAAAATATATACGGTAGGTCAGAGGATTGGACAGAATATAAATAACAGCAGAGACTGACTAAAAGATTAGGCATCAAGTCAAAATTAGAGTGAGAAAAAACTAGCTAGAAATCAAAACATTAAAAAAAAAGTTAACAAAGTGCATATTGGTGGAATGCATAATAGGAAATTAAGGGGATGGCAGATGAATTAAGCAGGAATTTTGCATTGGTTTTCACTATAGAAGATACAGGTAACATCCCAGAAATAGCTATAAATCAGGAAATGGAAGGGAAGAAGGAACTCAGGAAAATTACAATCACCAAAGTACTACTGAGCAAATTGGTAGAGATGCACGTTAAAATGTCTCCGGGTTCGCATGGATTTCTCTTTAGCGATTTTAAATAAGTGACTATTGAGATAGCTGATGTTGATCTAATTGTCCACAATTCCAAAGATTTACATTAGATTGGAAGATCAAATTTAAAGTCAAATAGCTTTTCAAATCTTAATACATTATTGTAACAGGATGGTTTGCACAACATTAGCAATTCACTTGGGCGAATTAAATTTAGGAAAGAAATGTACAATTGGTTTGCATCAGACTTCAGAACGTTAAAATACAAGGTAGGATTGACTTGGTGCAAAGCCTTACTCTGTCATTAGTTTGTATTAAAGGACTGTACCAAATACTGCTTACATATTGACTGCGCCATCAGGTATTTTCTGCACATACTAGTGGCTCAATATTTATACTGAAAGAGAAGGACAACTAACTTATCATTTTATTGAGGAATGAGGAACAAAGAAGCAGGGAATAAAGTATAAAAAAGGAATAAATTTTTAACAGATGGTGATCACAAGAATAGGTGCAAATTTCAAGTAAGTTTGATGACAATAAAGTCCGTCATTTTAGAGCTATGTGGGTGGTGTTACTTATGAATCGTGATTCATGAATCAATGCCACCATCATGCAGAATAAGACAAAAATTGACACTATGTTGAGAACTGAACATTTCCTGACAAAGCCCAGGTATAGACAAATTACATGAACAAAATGATCAGTATAAGGAAGTGATTATTTGCTGGCAAAAATGAGACATTTGGATTTACGAAGCACAATGATACTGCCCAGTGTATGAATACAATGTCTTAAGGCAGCAGGAAGCATTGTCCTTTAATTAAAGTTAAGATAGTTAAACAGAAGTACAATAATTACAATTAGTAGTTTTACAGTAAATATTATAATGGAAAACTCATCTGATCACCTTCTGGTTTCTTTGCTGGTGACTTCTCTGGGTCTTTGTCCTCAGGTTTGGTATTCTTTTCAGGAGACTTTGCTTTCACAATTGGTTTCTTTTCACTCAGTGCGGTTCTACTCCAAAAGAAATAAACGTTTAACTTTGTTGTATTTTAAACAATTTTCCTAATGTCCAGATACCTGATGTTATTAATTTTGGCTAGGTTAGATATCATGTTACTGAACCATAAAGACTAGCAGGTATCTTGTTTTATCTCTGTAGGTGGCAGATTTGAAATCAGGACATTTACGGTGCCTAAGAGATCTCAGGCTCCAAATGCCGACATGAGAGATAAGTGGATCAGACTTATCTCTCAGAATAACCGTGTGCTGTCTGTATGCAAATGTTCCAGCGACTTCATGTGAGAAGCATATTCAAAAGGTTGCTATCCAAATTGCACTATTTCACCATTAGCTTTGTGGAAACACCATTTTGCTGTCACACAATTAAAACACATCGAATGGCGTGAAGTAAATATGAAACAAACCCCTAAGGTTAATTTTTTGTCAGTTCAAGTGTAGGTACCTTTTACTGGTCAGTCTTAAGTACCAACCAATCCATCTGGCATTGACAGTTTATTTCCCAATGATTGATCAATGAGAGCTTGTTGGTTGCTCTGGTCATTCAAGTTCTACAGCATATGCCCTGTTTCTTGTGCTGGGCCATTATCAGACTGCAGACCTGGAACCTGCTCAATGTTAAAAACTTATGTGGTACTACTATCTGGAGTTTGAAAGCTTCATAGCAATAGTGAAGGGCAATTGCAATGGCACATGTACATAGGTGGAGGAGTACACTATTCAGGTCCTAACGACGAGATAAGGGCTTTTATTCTCGATTATCCAGTTCCTTCTTTTGTAATTGCCAAAACTCTTAATCTCAATATTCTGCATAAGTTTCTTATCATATTTTATTTTGCTTCTCTTGCATTGTTTTACTTCCTGTGCAGCTCTTCATCTCTCATCAGTCATCTGCATTTATGCTATCACTCAACTTCAATTTTATTTGACAGGTAGAGTTCTTTCCCATTATTGATTATACATTAAATATTTTTTGAGAATCTCCCAAGGGCGATCTGTACTTTTACAAAGTGACATACCCGACTCGTATGGTTCTTAACTGACTCCCAACATCAGTGCTGGGTAAACTGATGGAGGGGATTTTGAGAGAATACATTTAGAAAGGCAAAGTCTGGTTAGGGATAGTCAACATGGCTCTGTGCACGGGAAATAATGACTCACTAATTTGATTTAAAAAATTCAATCAAATTGGTGAGACACGATTTCCCAAACACAGAGCCATGATGACTATCCCTAACCAGTCCTTGCCTTTCTAAATGCATTTAGATCCTTTCTCTCATAATCCCCTCCAACAACTTACCCAGCACCGATGTTGGGCGTCAGAGACTTTAGCAAGGCCTTCTACAAGGTTCAGCATGATAGACTGGCCAGTAAGATTAAACCACATGGGATCCAGGGACAGCTAGCCATTGGATACAAAATTGGCTTGATGGTAGGAGACAGAGGGTGGTGATAGAGGGCTGTTGTTCAGACTGGAAGCCTATGACCAGGGGTGTGCCATAGCGATCGGTGCTGGGTCTACTGTTACTCGTCATTTATATAAATGATTTGAATGAGAATTATAGGAGGCATAGTTAGTAAGTTTGTGTTTGACACCAAAATTGGTGGTATAGTGGAAAGTGAAGAAGGTTAATTGAGTGTACTGCGGGATCTTGATCAAATGGGCCAGTGGGCCAAGGAATGGCGGATAGAATTTAATTCACATAACTGTGAGGGGTTGCATTTTGTTAAGACAAATTAGGGCAGGACTTGCACAGTTAATAGCGGGCCCTGGGGAGTGCTGCCGAACAGAGAGACCCAGGGTGCAGTTACAAAGTTCATTGAAAGTGGCTTCATAGGTAGACAGGCCATTGAAGGCAGTGTTTGTCATACTTGCCTTAATTGGTCAGAGCGTTGACTACAAGAGTTGGGGCAACATGTTACAGCTGTACAATATATTGGCAAGGCCACATTTGGAGTACTGTACACAATTCTGGTCGCCCTGCTATAGGAAGGATGTTATTAAACTGGAAAGGGTGCAAAAATGATTTACAAGGATGTTACCAAGACTGGAAGATTTGAGTTATAACGAGAAATTGGATAGGCTGGGACATTTTCCTTGGAGTGTAGGAAGTTGAGGGGTGACCTTATTGAGGTTTGTAAAATCATCAGGGGCATACATAAGGTGAATGACAAGAGTCTTTTCCCAGGTGTGGGAGAGTTCAAAACTAGGGGTCAATTTTTAAAGTGAGACGAGAAAGATTTAAAAAGGAGAGTTGTTTGTGTGTGGAATGAGCTGTTAGAGAAAGTGGTGGATGCAGGTACAATTAAAATATTTAAAAGACACTTGGAGAAGTTCACGAACAGGAAAGGTTTAGAGGGATATGGGCCAAGTGTAGGCAGTGACTAGCTTAGTTTGGGAACATGGTTGGTGTGGACTTGTTTGTTTGTTTGTTTCCATGTTGTATGGCTATGACTCTATAACAGTTGCAATAAATGTTTATAAAGTTACCATTTTTGGAATTTGGATATTTACAGGAACATTGATGGCTTGCTGCAATTATATAGGTATTGATGAGTCTATACCTGGAATATCATGCAGTTCTAGTCCCCTTATCCGAGGAAGGACGTTCTTGGTCTAGAGGGAGTGCAGCAAAGGTGTGCCAAATTGATTCCTGGGATGGTAGAACTGATGCATGAGGACAGTTTGAGTTGGTTAGGATTGTATTCACTGGAGGTTAAAAAAATTGGGGGGAGGGGGAGCTCATACGAAACCAATAAAATTCTTAAATTTTTCTATGAAATTCAACCACAGAAAGTGTTTGGGGCCAAAATGTCCTATGATTTCAAGGAGGAGATAGATATTGCTCTTGTGGCTAAAGGGATCAAGAGATATGTTGGGGAGGGCAGGATTAGGGTATTGAGCTTGATGATAAGGATGATCATATCAAATGGCAGAAGAGGCCCGAGTGATCGAATGGCCTACTCCTGCTTCTATCTTCTATGTTTCTATGTAATATTAGAGGCAGGCTAGGTGCTGCAAGTAGGCTGCCAAATAAGAGGAGAACATGATGTTAGGGGCAAGATACTCGTATGGATAGAGGATTGGCTGAGTGGCAGAAGGCAGAGTGTTGCGATAATGGGGCCTTTTTTTTTTTAGGTAGGCAGCGAAGACTAGTGAAGTTCTATTGGGGTTGGTGTTGGGACCACAACTATTCATGTTATCTGGAGCTGGACGAAGGAACGAAGGAACGAAGGCTTTATTGCTAAGTTTGCAGATGACACAAAGATAGGTGGATGGACAGGCTAGGAGAAGGAGTAAAGAAGTGGTTGATGGAATACAATGTGAGAACTGGGGAGGTCACGCAGTTTGATAGGAAGAATAGAGGCACAGACTATTTTCTAAATGGGGAAAGCACAAAGGGAAGTACAAGTTCTAGTTCAGGACTCTCAAGGTTAACAGACAGGTTAGGTTGGCAGTTAGGAAAGCAAATACAACGTCCATTTCAAAAGGGCTTAGAACACAAGAGCATGGATGCACTGCTGAAGGTGCATAAAGCTGTGGTCAGACCACATTTGGAACATGGAGAGTGGTTTTGGGGCCCCGTATCTAAGCTAGGATGAGTTGGCTATGAGGGGGTCCAAAGGAGGTTTACAAGAATGATCCTGGGAATGAAAGTCCACTCCTAAGGGCAGTTGAGGACTCAGTCTGTACTCAATGGAGTTTAGGAGGATTGAGGAGGGGGGTGGGGTGGGGTGGCGGTATCTCATTGAAGCTTACTGAATATGGAGAGGCCTGGATACAGTGGATGTGGAGATGATGTTTCCACCAGTAGGACAGTCTAAAGACTCAAAGGCACAAACTCACAGTGAAGGAACGATCTTTTAGAACTGAGAAGAGGGAAATTTTTTCAGCTAGGCGGTGGTGCATCTGTGGGATTCACGGCCACAGAAGGTTGTGGAGGCCAAGTCATTGAGTGTATTTAATTGAGAGGTAGATAGGTTCTTGATTAGTAAGGTAATGAAAGGTTATGGAGAGAAGGCAGCAGAATGGGGTTGAGAAATACATCACCGATGATTGAATTGCAGAGAAGACTTGATGGGCTGAATGGCTTAATTCTACTCCTATATCTTATGGGCTTATATGGTTTCAGTTCTGAAGGACTTTTTTTTTTTTTAAAGTAAGAGAGGTCAGAAACTCATTTAGAACAGTGAACTGAAATCATAATTTCCAGGAAAGCATTTAATTCAGTCAACTGCCTAGCAGGACACCTTTAATGTTAAGACACCGAATGTTTACACTGCTGAGATTACAACAGATAGAGAAAAACAGTTTCTTCCCAGCAATGGGATCCAATTTTCAGTTCAGAAGAAACTACATGCTCTAACAGAGATTTTAGTTTATGAAATCTCCAAGCTGACAAGAGTTGTATTGCTGTTGTTAGAATTGAAAAGAGAGAGATTCAGGCCATCTCTGAATTCGGGGAAAAAAAAGCTTTCTAGGAAAAGAAAACCAGCCTTAACAGTCCAAGGAGATGTGAAAAGAGTCAAATAAGAAAAATTTAAAGAGTTGAGATAGGTGCGATATTTCTCTGGGATTGAGTATTTGTAAAAAGGTTGAAATTTTGCTTAACTGTTTATATTCACATCTTTCTAAACTGTCATTATAGTCTTTTTTTGTGCAGTAAACTTATTCTTTAGTTAAAGAACACTTTCAGCCCTGTGTATATGTTCAGCGAATAAGCACCACAGTAACCAAGAGCAAAACTGAAACTTTTGATCTATCAAGCCAGGTTTTACTTTGGAATCCAATTTGACAATGTTACCCATCAGTTGGGATCATAACAGAAAGCTTGTTTCATCCTACAAATTTAGGTGTATAAAAATCTAGAATTCCTTTACAAACTTAACAGTGAGTCTCCTATTATATGATTACTTCAAGATAAAATGTTCCTTAATGTTTAATAAAGAAGTTTGACTAATTGCTCATTACCAAGCCTGTGACCTGTCCTCTTGTTGGTTTCAGTATCCTGCTAGGACCTAGACAGCTTTCCCGAAAGCACTCAAGAAGAAGTCATTACCTTTCTGACTCTTGATTCTTGTACTCTGCTCTGGTTAATGTGCATGAAAATTAGTTTTCCCTTGTCACAACTTTGTTTTAACTACAAACTTCACAAAATACACATCTGAATTAGATTGTCAATGCAATACTGATATCATCCGGCCCATTGATATCTTCCATTCCAGCTTTACATTCTGTTTGTTCAATCCGAATCATAGTCTCCACTGAGGTGACTGCTTTCCAATACTTATACCCAATCTCGCTCATGTAATAAACAATGCTGGGCAAACATGACCAACCTGCTGTCAGATTCTTCTACACTTAACAGATGCTATAAAATAAATTCAAGTGTAGAAAAATCTGACAGCAGATTGCTGGGAAAACGTGACCATTGTTTCTTCACCAGAAGTTAGCACTACCAGCAGCTGAGGAGGAAATGAGTAAGACTACAATATGAAATGTACAGAATAAATACTGATGGGGGCTAATTGCTGCCTTGCTCTTTTCAAATAATTGCACTCTGCCCAAATGTATCAAGTGCACAACTGCACCCCTCTCCGGAGTACATGCAGTCTTGTATTATATTAGTGTAGTGCTTAAGATTATAGCATGGTTGTGTAGTTATTATGGACTGCAAACCTTGAAACAAATTATACAACATTATGAACACTGTTGAGCTGGACTGTTAATCTTGTGTAAATGCTGTGGCTGTTTTATGCACATTGTTGCAAGTTGATTTTTATCTTTACACTAGCAGAGTACAGGGTTTATTACCCTCTCACCTTAAATGATGCTCTGAGCTATCGCTATATAAAATCCTGACCGAAGGGGGAGAACCCCAAAAAACAGAACGAACCTGACGCTGTTCAGCACGGACCTGTCTTTGCCTGGAGGTTTGGCAATTGGTCTTTTTGTGCTAACTACTTTTCCAGGGTGCTGCTCTTTTCCTCCTTTACTGTACTTGCTCTTGTCGAATTTTGGTTTAGGTATGCCATATTTCCGTAGTATCTTGCAATTTTAAACAAAAGCAGAAATTATTTAGTTACATATGACACAAAGCACAGTAACAATGAACACTCTTGTATGACAAAAGATAAAATTTTAGAAACAGTTCTCTTACATATTTGTTATTCTTATGAATAAAAAATAAAATTAATTGAATAACTCAATAATCAGTGTTGGCATTACCAACTCATACACTTCCAGTGGTACACTTGCTATATTTTGAATGGCATAAATGACTTCACTAAGAAACAATTCTCAAATCAGTGACTGAAGAAACACTTCCCACATGATCATGAGGCCACAATCTCCTGCCTTAACTACAGGTACACTGACAATCTAAGAAGGATCTTGTCCTTGTTAAGTGGCAAGACAAGATCCAAATGATATTAATTACCATTGCCCTGAATTGGTATTTTTACTTTAAGAGTGCTCAGAGAAAGATCTTTAAATCTGTCATGCTCTGCAACATAGCTGAGATTAGGCATTAACCAGGTATTTATCCAATACATGACAACAGGCAAACTTCATTACTGGCTACCAGAGATACACTATACTTAATGGTCAATTTACCAACTACAACAAAACCAATTGAAACCTTTATCCAATGTACACACACCTGCGTGAGTTGATCCTCTAGAACTTTCTTTGGTGGTCGAACATTGGTGAAAAAAATTTGCAACAAATTTCCTGGTGTCTGGGAGTTGATTTGCTCTTTACTAAGGAAAATGTCAGAAACTTTGATAGGTTTGGCTGGAGCCAGACTTAGCATCTGTTCAGAGTGTATACAGCTTCGGAATATCTCTGCAAGAACATCTCGTGCTCCAGGAACCACCTTATCACCTGTGTGAAAAGGAGCACAATAAACATTTTTAGATTGACATACTTGAAATGTTTATTTATTAATACATTTAAAAATACTTTCTCCCGAAACATCAAAGAATAATAAAAGAACATACAATTATTTAGCAATTTTCATAATCTCAATATTTCCGAGTGTTTTTCAGCCAAATAAGCACATCTGGAGTGTAGTAACTGAAGTAATGTAGGAACTTGCATGCAATTTGTATACAGCAATGAGCTAAGTGACCAACTAATCAAGTTGTGATGTTGCCCAACGGATGGGCATAGTCCAAAACATTAAGAAAACTGTCCTGCTCTTCTTCAATTAAGTACATAGAACATTTTGTTTCCGCCTAAGAGCTTTGAAATTAGGAAGTTTGCCAAACAGCCTTGGACAGATGCACCTTGGTAGGTGGTGGTTTAGTCAGTAGAATGCAAATAATATTGATTATATTAGAACAAATTAAGACACTGAAGCCACCATGTCAAACGTGTCTACGAGGGACTCAATGGCTGTAGCAAATAAATGGAACATTCAGCTCCATTACTTTTCGTACAAGTCAACAACATGGCTTTGTCTTTTCCAAACTCTGTTCCAACTCAGGTCAAAAGTCATAAACAGATCAAAAGCTGATACATACTCAAGCACATCTGAAGTTGTTAGCATTGTGAATTCATCCAAAACGTACCAAGTACAGGAGAGAGGATTACATGACATATTTATAAGTAACATACTCACAATAACAACCATTCTTGGAAAAGCCTCTAACACAGGGCGGCACCGTGGCTCAGTGGTTAGCACTGCAGCCTCACAGCGCCAGGGACCCGGGTTCAATTCCACCCTTGGGTGACTGTCTGTGTGGAGTTTGCACATTCTCCCAGTGTCTGCGTGGGTTTCCTCCGGGTACTCCAGTTTCCTACCACAATCCAAAGATGTGCAGGCTAGGTGGATTGGCCATGCTAAATTGCCCGCAGTGTTCAGGGATGTGGACATTAGGTGGGTTATAGGGGGACGGGGACGGGTGGGATGTTCAAATGGTCGGTGTGGACTTGTAGGGATTCTATGATTCTATGACAGATGAGTGGGATTGGGCATTTACATCCATTACATGCTAATAGCTAAACTGCATTATAATCCAAGGCCTCCTTATGAATACTTTGCTGTGGATGAACTGGATATTTAAAAAAATGGTGCTGTTCATGAAAATGCTCTGCGTACACACATTGTGAAATACTTAACAGTTGTGGTGTGAATGAAAGGAAAGAAAGATACAAATCTAAAAGTATCAAGACGTTCTCGAAAAAGTGAAAATGATCATGCATACGGGCTGCAACCCTCAACATAATTGCTATAAAAGGACATCAGTCATTTTTTAGGTGCTCAACAACCTACTGCACATTTCCCACATTTACATTTTAAATAGATTTTAGGACACAACATCAATGAAACAGTATATCATGCTGCCTCCAATTCCACATTATAATAAGTGGGCAATTCATGAACTGCTGATTTTTTGCTTATCAATGTGGTATAATTGGGAAAGAAGAGACAGTGACCTGGAGCAAGTCATTGCTGATTACTTACTCCTCCAAGAGAATAATGGAAGAAAAGAAGCGTCCCTTGAAAGCTTGGTTCTGCACCAGAATGGTGCAATCGTGCACATGGGAACTATACACGTGAAACAGCAGAAGTTTAACTTCTGTATCACTGCAGCACAACAATGCAGAAAACTTCTGATCATTCTTATTTCATGGCTCACCATCACTTTCTCAAGGACAATTAGAGATGGGCAATAAATGCTGGCCTAATTAGTAATGTCCACTTCCCATGAAAGAAAATATAAATACAAAGTAAATTCCATCAAGATGTTTCTTTAGCTCACCTTTTATTAGCTTATCAGTGAAATAATCTTCCAACGCTGAACTGCCCTGGGTGTCAAACAAGCTCTGGTTTACAGATGAAACTGTCAAAATCTCCTCTGTTGACATCTCCATTAATTCATCTTCCCCATCCAGACTGGACAATCCAATCAAATCGCTGCTATTGAACAGACTGGCACGGATTTTTTCAATTTTTGCCCTGGCTCTTACCTATGAATAAACAAAAATATTTAGATCCAAAAAGTATTTTTAGAACCATTACTGCTCTTCAACGACGAGCATTACAAGCATAATAATTTTCCTTTCCACTCTTGAAGATATGAGCTCATGTTACTTGCTTCCACAGAGGACAAGCTTCCCATTTCTCACCCACTGCTTGAGAGTGAGCCTGGGGGAAAGTGCCATTAGGAGAGTATCATAGCTGCATTCAATAGGCATACATAGTAGTGTCTACTAATAGAGAAGGAAGCCCACATCCATCACCATACAGTTTGAAAATACCCAAATTAACTTTAGCTTACTTGGCTAGCTAATTGTATGAATAGTGAAAACTGATTCCAAAACCTTCCAGATTTTGTGTCTCGCCTTGTCACACTGTGATGATACATTTATTGTCTTTTCTGGGCATGTAATACACGACAAAGTCTAAGGAAGGCCTGATGGCTGAAAACATACCCCTGCGTCATTGGTTTATTTTCAGTAACACTGGAGATTTAGAGTCAGTGTCATCTCATAACTGTCAGACTAACATTCAAGTATGATATTGTACCAACACACTGCATCATCATCTCAGATCCCATATCATACTGTCTAAAGTGTCTACAATTTTGTACAGGTAGAATTAGTGATTATACAGTCGTTCCTCCATATCTAAAGATTTTGTTCCCAAGAACCCCTGCAAATGATGAAAATCGCATCACGGATGCATGGTTTTTGCCTATAGAAGTTGATTTTCAGTGTCACCTATTTTTTGGCACAGATATGCAAATTGAGATTTTGCGGTTACAGAGAATCTACTGTACACAGAGAGCTAATCCCCTGAAATGTGGGGAAGCAAATGCTTGAATGTTTTTGAAATGGTGTGCAACACCAGGATCAAGAGAGCGCAACAACTTTGTCAGCATGCAGTAAGGCACCATCTGAGACAGACTGGCTTATGTTCAAAGTGAACAGACTAAAATATTTCAGGTGGCAGGAGGAAAGAGGATGAAAGGAGCAGATTTTAAAGGCACACAAGCATTAAATGAAGACCAAACAGATATTCAGTAAAACCATAAAGCACAAATGTCCAGATTATACAGTATTTCTTTTTGTCT